CCTGCACATAGCCCAGGCGGCTCCAGTCCATCGTCTGCCCCGCAATATACTGCGCATATGTCTCGTCCACCTCCGGACGGCCGCCCATCGGTCTTGCCCATTTTACGTCCAATGTCGGAGGTTCTATCGGCTTGGGCGGGGGCAGAGGCTTGGGTAATCGGGGCTTTATGGCGGCTTGTAGAGAATGCACGTATCGTTGCTGTAATACCCAGCCGGAAAGGAAGAGGGCGAGTGTGAAGAGAAGAACTACCGGCGGCTGTCAGCGAATGCGAGTGCGTGCCCGTCGTGGGCCATGCGTACCAATGGCTGCCGACAGGATGACAGAAACCTGGCTCGAAGTAAGGAGAAGTCTCCCCATAACTACAAGTAAACGCTGGATGCGAAGGGTATAAGAATGCTATGATGGTTTAAAAGTGTGCATGTAGAATGGTAAGGGCAGTTCGTGCAGGAGAGCGCATGCAGTGGACGGGTGTGACGTGCCCCGTGGATCTAGATTTCGTAGGGCTGCATGTTGATCGCTGGTGTTGAGCAGGCAACTATCGATTGCTGGCAGCACCCCGGCTCAAATTATCGCAACCATCAACGCGAGCTTCCTCCGCAGCACCATCGAACTACCAAACCACCAAACCGCACAATACTGCACGCGCATTCCCGAAGATACCCAAGGACCATTCCGATCTCAAACTAGCCACGAAACGACTGTTCGGTATACCCACATGTCCAAACCGCAGTTCGACCGCGCAGACGCCAGCGCGCTCCTCGACGACCGAGGCTATCGCGGAGCCCTCATCAGAGGGCAGAACCCGGCGCTGCTCTTCGAAAAGGGTGTACGCGAGCGCATTACCGAGTCCTATTACTGGAAAGAGCAATGTTTCGGTCTGAACGCTGCGACCTTGTGCGACCGCGCAGCCGACCTCAAGTTCATCGGTGGCACGACTGGCATTACGGGCAAACCTACACCATTCTTGTGTCTAGCGTTCAAGATGCTGCAGCTAGTTCCGGACAAGGAGATTATCCTTGAATACCTCAACTTTCGCGACGACGAGGAAGATGGAGCACAGGACGGCGAGGCCAAGAAGGAGGAAAACGGCCACACATCCGAGGACGAAGACCCAACCAAGAAGGCGCTCGATCTAAACGCTGCAGGCAAACTCGGCGACTTCAAATACCTGCGGTGCCTCGCTGCCTTCTACATTCGCCTTGCCTGGGAGCCCGTCGAAATTTACAAAACCCTCGAACCCCTCCTCACCGATTACCGCAAGATAAAACGACGCCTCAAGGATGCCTTTACCCTCACATATGTCGATCAGTTCATCGATGATCTCCTCACAAAAGATCGCATGTGCGCGACGAGTCTGTGGAAGTTGCCGTCGCGGGCGAACTTGGAGGACTTGGATATGCTGGAGCCGAGGGAGAGTCCGTTGGGTGACGAAATCGATGAGCTGGACGAGGAGCTAGACAGAAGGAGTGATGGAAGTGCGCGGAGCTACAGAAGCAGAAGCTATGACAGCAGGAGCAGGAGTCGGAGCTATGACAGTCGCAGTCGCAGTCGTAGTCACAGCCGCAGCAGAAGTCGAAGTCGAAGCTACGATAGTCGTGATCGCGGGAGGAGTCGCAGCCCAGGCGAGCGGAGCCGGTCACGGAGCAGGACACGTAGTAGGAGTGGGAGTCGCAGGCGCGATTAGAGTCGTAAGGACAGCGTGATGCTAGCATGTAGGGCCGCGCATCGGATTTAGCTTTATACCCATCTATGTAATGAAGCGTTCAGTTGCTATTTCCATCGTCGCATGAACACCACTCGATCCTGCGTTGCAAGTCGCACACGATGCCACCACTCCCAAGGCACGTGCAAGGTTCGGCAAGCTCTCTAATAGCATTATACTAGTTAAAGCGGCGGCCTTAAGCCTTAGTTTGTGTCACACTTTGTAGAGATTAAATTTTCTTCTATCTAATTACTAATAAAGCTACTAACTTAATTATCTTAATAAGTTAGGGTTACATTTTGCTGCACCATGAGAGCGCTTCCGACCCCAACCACAGCAAGATATACGCAACGCTCACCCACCACGTCGCTGCCACGCAGTCTCCCAACTGATACTGCACAAAGGCGCCCAAGTCAGCTGCAGGTTCCCTCCCTATAATTCGAACCCTCATGAACTTTACGATCGAGAAAAGAGGAAGAAACACAACCCCTCCAGCAAACGAGAGCACAGTCCACGATGGAGCCCTGGACGCCTCCTCATTGAACAGCCTTCGCCATGGGAGACAAGAGAAGACGAAGCTGCTTATTATCCACCCCGCACCAGCGACAGTGAATACTGCGAATGGCGCCTGGATGCACTTCAAACATTGTTCTCCAATGCTATCTTCTAGCACGCGTCGAGGCCGGACTTGAAGTGCTCGGCAAAGCTTCCTGAGGAACAGCGGGTAGCAAAGTCTTGCCAGCGCCACAGGGAGGGCAACACCAGCAACATTCGCCATTGAGAGCCCATGTTCAGAGCCCGATACCACGAAAGTCATTCTGGTGAGCAGTGAAAGTGCACTCAAGTTAACTCCAACATTGACTTGCTTGCTCATCCTCAGAGCACTGGGAAGAGATAGCACGATAGAGATCCACACCCTCTGAGGGTGAGCAAGCGCTCGAGACAAGATCCATCCCACGGCAACCGATATGTATGGCCAAACAGATGTCTGTCCCTCCTGTAAGGCAGGTTCTCCGAAGACCAGAACGAGGTGTTCCAGTAATGGCGATGTGTCGTCACCTTCACCCTCTTTCTCTTTCTTGCCAAAAATTTCCGTGAGGTTGTAGATGTATAGCAAAAGGTGTATGACCACCAGTAAATTTTGAAGGTGTTTCTTTTGTCGTGAAGTTTGTCGTCGCACGAAGAAAGGGGAGCCAACTAGGATGATTGGGATTGCTGGCCCTGGGATGCGTAATCGACCGAGTGCCACTGAAGGGTAAAGAGATGGCTCGTCGCTCGCCATATTGGGGAGACTAGGAACACTGGAGCGCGAGTTTCTTCTATATTGCGCCTTTTCCAGGCAGCAGTCGGCCTTGTGTCCACGCGACTTCCGACGGTGTCCGGGTGGAGTATTCTTGAATGCCGTTTATCCCATGTATCAACAGTACTGCCGAGCTTCTTTCTTTCTACAACATACATAGGCAACTTGCGCCAAGGAGTTCAAATTGTTGCCGCCATTGCCGTCTTGGCCTGCCGAGGTATACCGAGCTTGACGGTCCGAGCGGCCCAACGGCTCAACCGTGCCAGCGATCCTGCGTTGCGAGTCGCACACGATGCCACTACCTAGGTACTTCCAAGGTACGTGCAAGGTTCGGTAAGCTCCGATAGCATCATACTAGGCCTGCACGTTGAAGCAACTTCGACACCACCGAGCGCAGCTGTCACCACTTGTACTCCATCATCACCATGCCTGACTCTGCACCCCAACCCTCCACCCTCCTTACTCTTCCTCGAGAATTGCGCGATTTGATATATTCGTACCTGCAAGCTGAAGGAGAATCTGACTGGTGTGAAACCAGTCTTTTCCCTACATTCTGCCTCCTGTACCGCGTCCACAACGCACCGACTCTCGCGCTACTTCATGCTCATCCTCGTCTGCGAGAAGAGTCTCTTGAAATCACTGAGAAACAAGGAGTCTTCGTCACAATCTGCGATCGGGACCGCCTACGACCCTGCCCTGTAGATACACCGCATCAATCACCACCCAGTCGCAAGCGTCGCACGCTACCTTTAGACACACTTTTCAGCCATTACATCAGGCACGTCGCGATTCTCGTCCCCAACAGTCATGAAGACCTGAATGAGTGGACGTGGAACACTACGCGGCGTTTTGTCTCTGTGCTGGCACAGAAAGCTCCATTTCTAGCAACCATCCGAATCGACTATCAATACCGCTCCCAAACCCTACTTCAACATCACAACAACACCTTTGCACGGTTTGATATGTCTCCATATATGCTCGTGCCACCGCCCTGTCTAGACACGTTGCAGCTCGTACAGCGGGTCGAAGGGTACCGTCTCGAGCAGGAACCGATTTTCGAAGATGAGCATCGGAGTCAGCGACGTCAGCGGCGTCATCACAGGTGTCTAAAATATGGCTGCTACTTGTTCAGCAAGGCTGGAGTAGACTACATGTCTCATCTTTGGAAGCCTGAAGATATTGATGGACGGCTGTGGGCCGAGCCGTATGATGTGGATGATTGGAGAACGCCACTACCGGCTTGGGTGGTCAATCACAAACTGAAGGACTGGAGGGAAAAGCGTGGCCACGAGGAAGCTGTGGCTTGGTTCTGATATTGCTGCGTGATTGAATCTCGACGACTTTGACAATCGATTCGCAACATCTTGCATTCCGGCAGATACCGAACAATTCTGAATGAGGCTGGGGCTTTGAACTCTATCATGCGCTACCGCACGTAGACCATCATTGCATGTTCAAGAGGACATCTCGCTGGCTGTCGACCATTCCAGCAACCGAACAAAATCTCCCTTTTCGCCTATGTTACAACTTAGCTCCCAATTCCTCGTCCAATCTCCATGATGAGATAATTCCGTCAGTAATTCCGCTGGTTTTCAATTCTCTTCTTGATATCATCTTCAACATGGATCTTGCGCGCAAGTTCTTTCCGGACTAAACCGAAAGCCTCGTAGCAACGCTCACATCCTCTTCATCCAACACAGCTATCTCAGATAGGAAATCGAAGCCATCAACTGAGGCATCATATATCTGGCGTTCTTCCTGTCTCGCGAGGCTCCAGGGCTCCTTCCCTTCGCATCATGCGCTAGTCCAGGCCCACTTATTTCGAGCGTTTGTCAACAACATCAACAGCAATATTGACTCTCTCACACTCAGAGCACTCACCCACCAAAGACACTTTTCGCTCTGCTATTGACGCTCGCGTCCCACAACGATGTCGGGCGAACGCAGCCGCCGGGATGCGATCGCCAGGGCTCGCGTGCCTACAACCGAGGACATAGATGGTCAGTAATCCATGCCCACCTTACAGTAGCTCTGCTAACTCTTCATAGACTTCGAAGATAATTACCGAAAACGAAGGTACAACATGGGAGTACTGGCTAAAGCCTATGCTTATGATGACCTCGATGAAGAGGAGCTGGCGTGTATTGCCAAGCAGGAAATCGTGGTCCAGAACATGGAGGCCAACATGAGAGACATCGCCGCACACTTCCCTGGCTATGCACCCTTTGCCGACCTCGGGGAAGGAACAGCGCAGCAGGTGGGAGACTTGCTTGGTCCGGCCGACGGAGGCAAGCACCAGCCCATGCAAGTCAAGGGGAAAGAGAAGCCGGTTCTGGGAGGTAACTCTCAGCCCGCACCGAAGAAGCCAGTTCTGGAAGGTAACTCCCAGATAGTGGAGGAGGAGAAGACACTCGGAGGCAACTCTGAATCTGTCAAAGAGAAAGCTATACTCGCAGGTGACTGTGAGCTGGAAGTGGAGGAGGTTGGAGGCCATTCTGCGCCGATGGGGCAGCAGAATCAAGGTGATAACCGTGCGCCCAGTGAGAAGACAAGGCGATGGATTCAAGGCATCGTAGCCCTGAGGAAACAAAAGTATCTCAGGCGGCAGCATAAGGAGCAGATGCGCATTGCCGCTCTGGCTCGAGAGCTGAACAACTGAAGGCTCCGAACTATGCCAACTATGTAAACTTGAAGTTCTGAAAGCGCAGGCTGGATACATCACGATAAAAGAGTGTCGCATATTGATGCATGTGCTATCATTGATACCTACGAAATGCCTCTCTTTGCTATTGAAACTCTTTCGTAGCCCATGTAATCTTCAGCGACCGACAGCCCTTGATTAACTGATATCTTAAGATCTGCGAATAGCTCAGAGGATGCATTATGTAGACTCTTGATGTTTTCGGCCAAGATCCTGTTCACATTGACGTCACCTCTTCATGCGATTGTCATTCCCGTTCCGATTCCCTTGCACCGTCTCGGATGAGTGGACAGCTGTGCTTCCCTGAATCGCAATAAGTTTTGCCAACAGTTTTGGCGACACATCGGGCATGAGGAGTCAATCGCATCAACCCACCAGCATGCCCCACATTGACCTTACTGTACCCGACAGGACGGCGCATATGAAGAGTAACATCAACGACTTGGCGCTGCCCACCGGCAGTCGCGCGCTGGAACCATTGTCATCTGCGAATCGGATACATCGATGCGAGAAGTTCTCAACGGATTTTCTAGAGCGGCATGTATTTGTCTCGGTGGGACATGCTCCTCCAAAACCCACTGCGAACCATTCCCATCGCAGTATATCGACACTGAGACATTCGAATCACCATATCAAACACAGATATATACAACAATATGAAGTTACATTTGCTCCTTTTCCAAGCTGTCGCGGTGCAAGCTGCGATCCGCTTTGGCTGCAGCAGTGTGTCCATTCAGCGCCTGGACCCGCTAGTCGAGCCTGGCCGTGTACCCTCGTCTCATGTTAGTGTTATGATCGTAGTGGCGACCATATACTAACACAACTGCAAAGGTACACCAGATCGTCGGTAGGCTGGACTTACGATACAGCCTCTGGTTCTCTCATTGACGTTTCCGCAGGCGGTAATGCTTTCAACGCTACGATGGCCGGTGATATTGGGGAACAGGGCAGCTGCACAACATGCGCATACACTGAAGGTACGTCATGCGTTCCTCACTCCAGTTTCTTTACAATTGCTGACATTGAATGTAGACTTTTCCAACTACTGGACCGCGGCGATGTACTTCAAACACCAAAACGGCTCATACAAACGCGTTCCAATCTATCCAAACGCTCAGCTAGGTATTCCGACGACATCGCCTACACTGGAGCACATTGAAAGGCTAAACCTTAACAGGATTCGATGGTCAAGATGCGGACCACATCAAGGGAGGTATGACGGTATACTACACCCAGAAAGACTTCGAAAGCTCAGACCTCGACAATCCCGTGAAAGCTTTTCCGCCGGTGAGTGATGCTATCTCGGCCGTCGATGAAACGAGCGATTAATTGGGTCAAGGGCTTCCGCATGACCGTTGGTAACCCGTCAACAAACACACTCAACGGCACAAAGAAGGGCCTGGCATACACGTGCTTGCAAACCATCCTCACTAGAGGTTATGAGACTCCTGACTTCCCGAAAGAGCCCTGCCCTGCCGGTGTCATGGCCATCCAGGTAAGTAATGGTCCTGAGCAAACATTATGATCAGGGTACTGACAGTATGGCAGTAAGTCTCCCTGCGGTGTTAGCATGCTCCTGCATACAAGTGTTACGCACTTGCCGCCAGCGCGTATTTTCCCAAGAGAAACTCATTCCTTTTTCCACAAAACCTACTAATTGCGTCTTTCATGTGTAGCCATTTTCCCTCTTGCTGGAACGGAGTCGACCTTGACTCTCCCGACCGTCAGTAATCTCCCTGTGCGAACTGCTTGTGAGATAAAAACTGACTTCGTACACCAATCTTTAGATCAATCCCACATGTTCTCGACGACACGAGGCGGCTTCCGCCCGGCGGACCCGTGTCCTGCATCGCATCCCATCAAAATGCCTCAGCTAGCATACGAAACAATGTGGAATACAACTGCCTTCGCCGACATGTGGCCAACCGATGGTTCGCAGCCGTTTGTGTGGAGTTATTCCGATAGCAAGGGCTACGGTACTCATGCAGACTACGTGTTTGGGTGGAAGGGGGACAGCTTGCAGCGGGTGATGAACGATAGTTGCATGTTCCATAATTGTGGAAGTCCGGGTATTCAGGGTGTGCTGAAGACTCAGACTGTGGAGGAGATGAACGCGTGCGCGGTTGACAGCTCCGTCGACGAAGAGGTGGATGGGTGGCTCGATCATCTGCCAGGGTACGAGATGGAGGTCTAGCTCGGTATCTACTGATGGAGGTCTGATCTTTTGCATATATAGTGGCCGGGCTCAGAACGGGGATGTCGCAGGCACGGCGTGTCTGGTTCGTGTTCATAGATTGCAGCTCGTTCGCGGGTTCTTCGGCGATCAGCTAAGATAACACGCTAGACTCGATTTGAGCAAGCTTGCACGCGTCTCCTGTCTCCGCATTGCGCCTTTCGTCATCGCTCCGACACTGTATTCAAGCTGCCCGGCTTCATGATCTGCTATGTTCTGAGCCGTGACGAAGTCAGAACGGTATCGAAGCGCCCGGCTAAATTTCTGTGGAAACATCCTCATCGCATACCATACCCCACATGCTCTTTTCCTTGATTAACAACGTGTCCACCCGACGATCATCACCTACGATTGGTGACAGGTACCTGTCATTTCGACCACCTGGGCATCGTCGTACCAAACACTACCGGCAGATAACAAGTGCAAACGAAAGCAGATCGAAGTCTGGTGTTCACGGCTGCTCGAAAGCACCACCCCTGGCTCGGTAGTGAACAGCCGGCACAGCAGTATCGGACATATTGACGAAGATGCACCCCAGTCTTGGAAGAGTATATCTCTTGCTGGGAGAGGCGGGTCAGTCCTTGGCATACGCTGCTGTCAATGAACCCCAGGCGATCTCGCAACAATGGCTGATTAATGAGAAACAGGCGCGAAGAATCACGCGCACTTGATACCAAGACTCCCATACTAGGCCCTTACATGTAAGGTAGGTATATTATAGATACAGACCGCCGGGAGTGGTGGCCAGCTACGTTGTCCTATCTACTCTTCAGCCTCAGCATCATGGTCTCTTTTGCGGTCTTTGCCGCCGTCGTGCTAGGCAGTCTGCCTCTCGCTCTCACTGCACCGAGCGGTATCGCTTCAATTATCAATCATGACACAGTTGGGAAGCAGCTCGAAGCCCGTCAAGGTGGCTACTACTCCTTTTGGTCCGAAGGAGGTGGCTCGTTCCGTTGCAACCAACAAGGTGGCGGAAAGTACACGTGCAACTGGTCAGGACAGTCTGGTGGTGGCTTCGTTGCTGGCACAGGTTTCAAGCCTGGGGGTTCGAGGTAAGAGCAGCAACGGGTCCAAGACGATTTCGAGAGCTGTACTAATGGATCGCACTAGGACAGTCAAATACTCGGGTACATACGACGCCAAGGGTCCTGGTTACCTCGCCCTCTATGGCTGGACGCGCAACCCTCTCATCGAATACTACATCATCGAGTCGTACGACGTCCTCGCCCCAGGTGAGCCTTGGACGCGCAAAGGCAACTTCACTTTTGAAGAAGGCACCTACGATCTGTACACTAGCCAGCGCGTAAACAAACCGTCTATTGAGGGGACTCGTACCTTTACACAGTTCTGGTCGGTGAGAACAGAGAAAAGGGTTGGCGGTACAATCACTACGCAGAAGCATTTTGACGCGTGGAACAAGGCTGGGATGAGGTTGGGCGGTCACGACTATATGATTCTTTGTACGGAGGGATTTGCGAACGGGACGCTGCTGCCAAGTGGAAGTAGCAGCATCACTGTAACTTAGTTGGTGGGAATTGGCTCTTGACTGGCCTCAATTTGTGGAGCCGCAGGACATGGACGCAGTCTTGTAGTCCTGGTCGTGCGTATGTATGTCATGGGAGTGTCATCTTTCGGGGTAGAAGGGAACCTAGATAATTCGCTTGATTCCTTTACGCTTCCTCTAGCTATGCTCCGCAGGCCAGAAATCACTCCAATAATCCGTAGAAATCATCACAAATACAGTGTCTACATAGCTTGCGGTGTCATCAGTGAGTATACATACTGAATGACCGACTTATGCGACCGGCTACACTTGGTTGCGGGAGAAAGACCCTGGGTTGCACTGCTCAGATCGCAGGATGTTCGGGGTCGTATCCAAAAGGGAACGAGTGGCAAAGTGGAGCCGGTTGCTGTCGCCAAACAGACATTTTGATCCTTCGTGCTCGGGGGCCGGCCGCAATGCGACACATCCACGTCAACCTAGGGAAAAAATGTACGCCGTGGAGCCTACATTACCACCAACTTTTCTAGATTGCTCGCGATATCCTGATGTAGTCTGCGGAGCAGTTCAATTTTTCCTCTTGCATGTGGTAACTCTCCGCGACCAGAGGTGTTGCCTAGCCCGTGGCCCATGCGCAAAGTGGAAGGATGCACGCCATGGAGTTACAGAGGTGCCGTTGAGGGGCGGCGCGACTAGCGAACGCACGCGACCTGGGCCACACTACCACCGACTGTGAGGGTTAGGAAAACAGGACTCGTAGTGTACCTCATGACTGTTTGCGCGTACACAGTCACGAATATTTGAGCCTGCTGTGTTTGGGGGGGAGATCCCATCCCGGGACGACATGTATACTGATGGCTGCGAGACGGTAGGCCGGCATCGAGGTGCACGACGGGGCGTATTCGCCTGTCAGCAACCGCGCCTAAAGGGTAGATAAGAACAATGAAGACACCTTTGACGCGCCGTCTTGCAAAGCCTCTCTCACATCCAGAACACTCCTCTCATCCGCTCGTTCCTACGCGTATCATGGCAGGCACAGTCCTAATCACCGGCGCAAACGGTTCGCTTGCTTTACCATCAGTCAAGTACCTGTTGGAAGCATACTCATCCTTCAACCTGGTTCTTACCGTCCGAGACGATTCAGAGAAAGATGCAAACACGCTAAAACTTCGTCAACTTGTAGCCCAGCACCCCAACGGACAAGTGTCTATAAGAAAGCTCGATCTCTCTTCGCTGGAAAACGTTCGGGTATTCAGCAGAGCGCTCCTTGTTGAGATTGAGGGCAAGCAGCTTCCACCCATCCGGTCGATTATCTGCAATGCGATGACATGGAATTTGTCCGGCGGGCCGAAGTATTCGAAAGACGGATACGAAATGTCGATTGCGGTCAACCATCTTGCACATTTTGCTTTGTGTTGCAGGCTCATGAGTGCCATGGACCCAGTTCATGGCCGTATCGTCTTTTCGGGCAGCGGCGCACATCGACCGGAGGAAGCAAAACTCGTCAAGGAATATCCAACCCATATCCCAAACGATTTGGAACTATTGGTTCATCCAGAACCTGATAAGGAAGGCGAAGAGTTGGGACGAGGCTTCCAAAGATATGCTGTGAGCAAGTTGGTCTCCATCATGGTGATGTACGAGCTCAATCGTCGCCTGAAAGCAGTAAGTCTCCCGTTGTCGAAGACGCTGCTTGGCTTGCAGCCTAACTGTTTCATCAGAAGAAAGATGTAGAGTCCATCCGCGCAGTTGCGGTGGATCCTCTGGATCTGATTACATCGCGGGCGTTCCACCAGCCGCACGTTCCGCGAACAATTCAGATCATGGCTACGGTCGTGACTTGGTTGTTGCCGTTGATTGGCTACTTCCAGCCTCGATTGGTGACCGTCGAGCAAGCTGCAATCGCCTTCGTAGATGTGGCAGTAGCCGACAGATTTGATGGGCAGGAGGGGTACTTCGAAGGGAAGAACAGAGTCGAGAGCTCACAGGACAGTTTAGATGTGGATATACAACAAGCCTTGTGGTCCAGGAGCGTCGAATGGTGTGGGCTGGACAGAGAGGATGTGCCGATGGGGTTGTAAAGGAGAGGTTGAGTTGTCAGGGACGTCTGTGGGCGCTCTTAGTGCCAGTCGGCGCGATCGCCGGAAGCTGGGGAAGCCTCAATCGCAGCTCCACCAACCTCTCGAATCCCTCATCATGACTTAGTAACGATGCGCACCATGTGCGCGAAGCGATAAACGCTCTATAATCGATTCGCAGTTTTACCCTCCCATGACTGTACGCGTCTTCATGTCTCTAATATCGGCCCGCAGAGTCGAGCGCGTATAAGCACCACCCGAGACACCGCTACGACGCGTGGCCTCAGCCGAACCTCAGCGCCATGTCCAACGGGTACGCAGCCACTGCAACACGACGCCATACACCACGTCGATTGTGGCACAGCCGAGTGTCTAAACTGGACTTGCAGACGAACCGACCCACAAAGCCCGGCACGACACATTCACAGCCAAGCTCTCAGCTGCCGCTTGGCAAAGCTTGTTCCTTGATTTTGTGAGGGATTTATTGGCGCCACAAAGCTTAGTTGAGCTTAGCCACGCAATCAGTGCATGCACCTCGCAAGGGTTGGCATGCTCTAATGCAGATTGTTACGACAAACGTCTACGTGACACCAATCAGAACCAATGAGACATGACCGTGAGCAAGCTGAGCCACCCCAACCGCGGCCGTTTTCATCTGTCACACCGTCCGGACTTGCATCTTGGGTTTGCTCGAGAGATAGCGGCGTCGGTGAGGCGGTGCAGCAGGGCCGAGCGACCAGTCCCAGGCCTGACAACTGGCAGACGTTGAAACATGGGCATGCATGCCTGAGGGTCAGGGCTTGATGTGTGCCACTGGCGAGGTCGAATGACAAGGCGCGCAGGCCGCAATGACGGAAGCTACTATCCTGGAATCATCGAGCTGGGGAAGACTGTCACGTCTGCTGACCTGCAACCTAGTGATATAAAGGGTCGTGGACATCCGCGAAGACGAACATTCACTTCCCACCACCTTTTGAGATCGCTATCTACGAATTTCACCTACCGCACCCACACACAAATACAGCACGTTTGACTCCTGGGCTCTCGGTTCTCTTCACATCCAACAAGACTATCACAGTAAGTGATCCAGGTATGCTACCAGCTACATAACTAACACTCCGTCCAGTATCACCTCCACACGAATACCATCAAGATGCCTGCCAGTGTCGCCTCTTCCATCTCGACTATCATCAAGCCCTCGCCAGCCCCGAAGTGCGGCGAGTCGTGCGACTGCTGCGGTTGCGACGAGTCCTGCTGGTGCACCGTCATGTAGGGCGAGGACACCTCATACTCGGTCACGATGTTACGACCGACTTCTTGAAGGACACCTAGGTGCTGTCAGCTAGCGAACATCGTCATAGGAAGGCTTGCTACAACCCGTTGAATATAGCCACTGTTTTCTCTTGGCTTGAGTCCAATTGCTGTGCTCTCGAATCACTACCTCATCGATTCCCATCTGACCTGCAACGCTATTGCCATACCTCAAAACCTCGCTATATCAAGTTCCTACCTGTTCATACCTTTGTTAGCCGCGAAGTAACAACATCCCGGGCATGACTCGGTTGAGCACAGGTGTACGCAAAAGTGACGTAATTCCTCCATCACAAGAGCATACCTGGTAAACGTTGCAACAACCAAAAGAGCCTCACGGGCTCTTCCAGTCTTACAGCATACAGCTCCACGCTTTCTTGATACCAGAATTCATCTCCCACTTACTCATATCACAGAATCAAACGTTCAAAATGCCCCCGTATGTCGCCCGCGATGCTATCCTGAGGACTTCGAAGACGCTTTCGCATCTATTGAGACCTACTATTCGCTTTGCTCACACACAGCGCAGGACTTTGCCTGACTTCTCGCTTGAGGGCAAGGTCGCTGTTGGTAGGTAGTCAAGAGCGTCTCTTGACAAGCTAGCTAACTTGCTATAGTTACCGGGTATGAGACCACCAACCCGCGCTATCGGTGGCTACGATCCGTGTCGCAAACTTTTCCTGCGTAGAAGCATACATCATCTTCGAAAGTATTCACTTGTCAACATTTACTGGTGTATGCAGCAGAATGCGATACGAGTCCTAGCTACCCCTGGTGTCTCTCTCACGAGAAACCAAACACAGTTACAATCAAGCTAATGTGCCATACAGTGCTTCTCAAGGTCTTGGTCAGCAGATCCTCGCCGCCTTCGCCCTTTCCGGCGCCCATGGAGCCATTGTAGACCTTAAACAAGAAGGCGCCGACAAATCAGCCAGTGCCCTCATTGAAGAGGCTAAGAATCAGGGCCTCTCGCCCCCGAAGGTGCATGGCTACGAATGCGACACATCGTCCGAGGAAGGCGTCAAATCTACGTGGGGGAAGATTGTCAAAGACTTTGGGACCGTGGATATCCTCGTTACGAATGCTGGTATTACTGGTGGCGCACCAGCCGAGGACTACCCTTTCGAAGACTTCAAACGAATGATCGACGTCAATCTGACTGGAACCTTCCTCTTCTCTCGCACAGCAGGTAAATGGTGGATCGACAACAAGGTCGATGGCCGCATCCTGATCGTCTCGTCAATGTCCGGCTCCATTGTCAACCGCCCGCAGAAGCAGTCGGCATACAACGCTTCCAAAGCTGCATCGGCCCATCTCATGAAGTCACTGGCGTCAGAGTGGGCGCCGCACGGCATCCGCGTCAATGCACTGAGCCCGGGATATATCCAGACCGAGGCTAACGAGGGCGAAGAGATGGAGAAGCTGAGCAAAGAGTGGTTGAAGGATATTCCCATGAAGAGGATCGCCAAGCCAGAGGAGTTCCGCGGGGCGGCCGTCTGGTTGGTCAGTGATGCTAGCAGCTACGTCACGGGTAGCGAGATTATCGTGGATGGGGGATACACTATCTGGTGAGACTTGCTGAGAGTGGGACTATGTACGCACAAATCCGAATGTGGCCATCATTATGGCGACAGGCATGTCTTTCAGTCCCTAATTATCTCGGTACAACCCACTCGGGTAAATCGCTCGTCTTGTAGCGCCCTTTATTATACTCAATCGGTGCTGGCGTTGCTGTCGCAGAAGCAGGCGTATCCTTTTGCGCCCTATCGCCAGAGTTATCGATGATCGCTTTTCCCTTCTCCCTTGTCTTCCCTCTGTTTAGACCCAGAACGAAAGCCGCGACAATAGCCAAGAGACCGACCAGACTACCAACTACCGCACCTGCAATCACACCTGGACTTGTACCGCGCGGAGCTCTATCGTTGCCTGACGGTGTATTCTCGGGGCTCGAGGTTTCACGGGGTAGGTTGGATAAGTCGCGGTCCGAAGTGGTCATGCTGTTCGAGATAGCCGTGGACTCTGCTCCTGAATTCGATGTGGTTGTGAATGACGACGAAGAAGGCTCAATAGCTCTGGAGACCGCAAACATCATGCTCCGATATCCCCACGAATAGTTATCCCATACATCATCGTCGCGATGCTCTTTCCATCGAAACACATGATTACTGCCGTTGGCGCGATCGTCGGGGACATCGACCGTCCAGTTCCATTGCCCACCTTGCCGCACATCGGTCGTATCTAGTTCTATTGCGAATATCGATTAGTTTTTAGGGGCTGCGGGATGAACAACGTCGATTACAACGTACCAAGTAGTTTTCGCACAAATGCGTCGTTGGCATAGCCTGTAATCCAGAGATCAAGGAGAGACTCGTCGCCGACGGGCCCGTCACCCCAATTCGGCCAATTGTCGTCCCATCGGATAGTTATCTCCTCGCCTTTGGACCAAAATCTCTTCCCGTTAATCCAGTTGGGGTTTGTGAACTCGGCTAAAACAGACGCCGCTAGGTACGACAGGCATAAGAACGCCTTCATCGTAGAGTTGGCGGAGAGGGAGTACAGAAGCAAGAACTATCTCAACAGAAAGCTTCATGGCCCCCTTAATCACTAGGCGGCTGGTTGCGGTGGCTGTCAGCCTTGCCAAGGCTCCCGTGCCGCAATGATGCAGATATCGCAAGGCGCATGAACCCCTTACAGATCGTATTCAGCTCTCGCAACGCATACTAGAGCATCACTGAATGTGGCTACGTATCAATAATTCCTAATCGCATTTGCTGCATACACGCTATTCAATCTCAACAACTAAACGGCTTCCAAGAATATGTACCTAGGTATACTTCTAGCTCTACAACACTTCAATATCTGATTTGTGTTCTTGCAGGATATGAGACATGATGTCGCTATCCCTGGCAGCACAGTGATAGGTATCGTATATGTTTTCGTTGTCATTCAGGAAGCCAGGCGGCCAGGCGGCCAGCAAGTGTTACCTGGGTATGCTTGGGGTTGCGCGCTTTACTTGAGTCAGGACAGCAGCCGGAAACGACAGTTATACCCTCATGCTATTGTCTTCAACGAAAGTAGAGTACGACTCTAACACAGCCTAGAGCCCGATCTTGGTTCGAGCTACTGTCTTAGTACCCAAAGAGTGCTGATCATGCGACAGTCATAGGAAACCTTGGAAGTCAATGTGCCCAAATGTATGAGGACTGGATAATAATTCTATGCATCCTTCACTACCTACGCCTCAACGCAACCCGAGCAATCTCCAATATCTCAACAATACTTTTGCTTCGTCGCCCAGTCACACATGACTTTTCCGACGCAGCTGCAACAAGCGCACACCTGTCATGCACCGCCGGTCAGCGCCATAATCTCCATCGTCAGCCGTTGGATGCCTTACCTTCTTTTGTTTTACCGCGTTATCATCTCCATCTATACATGTCAATGTCTGAGCATTCCACCGAAACTTGTTGTAGCAGGCGTTTGCGTTGATGACCGCGGCGCAGTCGTCGCTCCGTGCGACTTCGGCAGTGCACTCTGGGTATGTTTGGGCGGCGCTGAGAGCGAGAAGAGTTGCCAGGACGGCGAGAAAGAGCATCATTACGGATTCAGGTGATTCAAAAAGGTGAGAGTGCTTGGTTGGGAAGTGTTTGTCGTTGTGTGGTGCCGCTTTGCTCTGCTGTCAAGCATCTGTTATCGAACGTCACTGGCGCTGCGCATCCCGGACTCATGTATCCGATTGCGACTCGTGCCGTTTGCTTGGAACAATATATTCGGAAGTATCATGCAGCTCGTGGTATCTTGGAGGAGAAGGAATGCTGGCTACACCTACGGTCAGCTGCATATTCTACAGGCATCGGACGGATCGTCCCGCGTCGTGCTCGTTTTCAGCTTTTGTCCTTCAACAACTCTAGAACACACTTTGTCCAGGCGTCTGCTCATTTGAAGGCTTCAGATGAATGACCACCTTCATGGAAAGACGACGTTCGATCTTCCTTGGCATCTGAGCTCGCATTCGCTACGCGATATTAGCTTACATTACCATGGCCTTCGGCTCTTCGCATCGATGCTCGTGAAAAACGGCAGTTGGTAGTATCTTGGACATCAAGTCGTAGCACCCATAGTATGAAGGGTAGACTTGCCATGGGCTGCAGACTGCTGTTTGGTAGCTGTCGATAACATCGGAACGCTGGAGATCACAGGAACTTAACGACATGAAACTACACACCTTCATAAGTGCCTTCGGGTTCGTCGCGACTGCGAAAGCAGGCCTTTTGCGCTTTGGCTGCGCGCAGTTGACAGTCCAGAGACTTGACCCGTTGGTGAACCCAGGCTCGAATCCCTCGCCACATCTTCATCAGATCATCGGAGGTGTAAGAAAGCCCTTCTCCAAACAAGCATTCTACTGCTGACACCGTCAGAACTCCTTCAACGTCACCATGGATCCAGCCAAAGGCCATGATTTGGCGACACAATCGACATGCACCACATGCGAGTTTTCCGAAGACTTGAGTGAGGACTACAACACAGTTCTAGATGACGAAGAGACGCTAATGAGATGACTGTAGGCAACTACTGGACCGCAGTCGTGTATTTCAAAGCCAAGAACGGCACCTTCAAACGCGTACCCCAACGAGCGCAACAAGGCATGGAAGGTACCAACGGCGGCATGGTACGCACCTTCTTCTTACCCCATCACAGACAACGCCTAACATGCATGCAGGTTGTATACTACATGACCGACGCCCTCTTCAGCACCTCGCAAACCACAAAAGTAACAGCCTTCAAGCCCGGTTTCCGCATGCTGATCGGCGACGTCTCGTACCGTTCTCGCGATGAAGCGCGCGACTTTCGACAGTTGACATATATTTGCATGCAAAACGAGGGTACCCGGGAGCCTGAAACACTCGAGTTCCCGAAGCAGCCTTGCCCGGCCGGCATCATGATTAACCATCGGTTTCCAACTGTAAGAGTTCCGACTTTGCGATTGTACGTTGCATGTATTTACTGACTGCTTCCAGTGCTGGGACGGCGTGAACCTCGACTCACCAAACCACCGCGAACACGTCTCGTATCCCGCGACGGGTACATTTGAAAATGGCGGCGCATGTCCATCTACACACCCCGTTCGCCTGCCTCAGATCTTGCTAGAGACGGTCTGGGACACGAAGCAGTTCAACAACAAGGCCGACTGGCCAAGCGATGGTAGCCAGCCTTTTGTCTGGTCTAGCGGCGACGCGACTGGGTTTTCGACGCATGCGGACTACCTTTTTGGCTGGAAGGATGACTCGCTGCAGAAGGCTATGGATGGGAATAATTATGTGTCGGCGCCAACGCTGAAGAAGCAGAACATTGCGACGCAGAATAAGTGCAATGTCAAGGATATGGTTGGCGAGAATTTTGAGGGTTGGCTGACAGCGTTGCCGGGTGGGATGCAGGTTGGTTGAGGCACGTCTCGATCAAGGTTCACGTTGTTGCGTTGAGATGTTGTGGGTGTATCATTAGTTAGGAAGGTCTGACTCTTTTGCAACTATCACTTTACTACGGGTACGGTTCATGATCCGTGGATGATCAATATAACCGACAAGCTTCCTACTGTGCGATGGATTAATAGATCAGATTGATATCTGACAACGGACATTTTGAACACGTTTACTTATATGCTATACCACTAGGGTAGCCACCGAAGTAAATATGTGACAAAGGCGTCCTAGACAGATGGCTGACTTGTCTTTCAATATTCCGGTCGTTGTATCTCCACGTAAAAACTGATCCAGCATCAAGTAAGCAGCCAACCCTGGCGCTCTCAACCGGTTCCTCTGATACCTTGTCAATGATCGCATCCTGCAGCTCAACGGGGAGCTTGCGAAGAGGAGCCATAGTGGGGCTGGTCTGCGTGGCTTGGAGAAGTAGCTCGATAGCTTCTTCAGATGGAGGATGCACCCCGTCAAATAGACGCATGGGTTCCGTATATTTTTCGAAATCCCTGCTTATCCGAAACAGAATAAGTTCCCGCACCGAGAGAATGAGGTAAGTGGAAGTTCTTTCCACCGAACCAGGAGTAGACACAATCTGCTTCCTGAAATCATTTCGAATCAGCGTGACCGCGTGCGGAGTATGCTGGCATATGACGATGGCCGTTCCACCGACCCTAACAATGTGTCCACTTGCAAAGTCCCACTCTGGGAGATTGTCTATCCAGACCAGGTAGCGGCTAATGCTTTGGTGTGCGAGCGTTGCTTCTTCGACGGCAAAGTCCAGGGTAACAATCCTGACAATAGCAGTGGAAAGCCTCCGGAACGTAGAGTTGTTGTAACGACCGCAAAGGACATGCCTCCACTGAAATGCAAAGTCGGCAAGTATCCTAGAGACGAAAGCCTTGCGCCGCTGTAGGCGCGGCAGGTCGATGTTCTTGCGTCTCATTTTCCAGAACACCACTGGGCGGCGTGCTGAGTAGACGGATCGCAAGGCATGTTTGGCAAGTGTCGGCGGTGGTTCGCAAGGCTCGAAATCGGAAATGGTTATGGAACGCTGGCGAACAAGGTCGAGAGGAACCCAAAGGTTGCGATCTGTCTGGTCCAATCGCAGAATATCGCGATCAAGGTCAAAGGTCCAGACCGCTCTAACGTGACTCCATCGGCGGTCGTTAAAGGGTGTGAGAAGGTCGTCCCGCTGTTGCCAATCCCGGGCAACCTGCGAGTACAAAACATCAAAAGTAGATTCTACGTCTATGAGCACTTTTTGCCGTCTATGCCGGGCGATGATGGTACTACGCACCTCTTGCTACGCCCGCAAGCCTGCTCGAAAATAGTTGCAGCATGGCGTCATCTTCGGCAGAACGATGTCCGGCAAAATAGAAGGCCCCTCGTTCTACGTTAGAAGAACAGACCGTGTATAATATTGTACTGGTAACGTACCTTGCAAGTCAAGGTTGATATACGCTGCCATGGTGAGCCGTGGACGGGCGCGAAGTACAGGGACGGTTGAGCTCTGTATGGAGGTAACAATAAATTTGGTGCAGTCGGTCTGCGTACGTTGGCAGGCTTGGCAACGCGCCACGTGTGAAGATTGAGACGAGATGGTTAGGGAGAATTAACGGTGGGAAGAAGAAGGCAAGCCCTGGAGAGTGCAAGATTAGAAGGTCAGGAGCGTTAGTTATGGCGACCATGTTGCCGAGTCAACCAACAACAGGATTGCTAGAAATTGCGCGTACATTTTCAGCGGATGTCCAGATGTCGAGGCCGCGGGAAAATAGTCACTAAACTAGAAGTAATGAATTTTGTGCCATACAATGCCGCTAACCCAAACACCTTGCTAACGAAAGCAAGTTCGACAGACAGACGATACGCATACACAGAACAGCCCCCAATCATCGTACATCGGCCCCTACCAACAGCTCGCCAGCCGGATAATGCCACTCATATCCCTGAGATCTTATCCAAACGACGATTTCTTTGCAACACCCTGATGAGTGATCAGATACATATAGTCCTCGTTCAGTTTTCTAACAGCGTCAGCACCAAGCATGAGAAAGTTAAGGTCCTCATGTTCAAGACCTGGCTTCCTCAAGCTCGAGCTCTAACTGCCTGATGCGCTCATCCTTTTCACGGTCCGAGGGCTCGGAGCTGGCAACCTTGGTCTTGAGCATCGAGACTTCGCGCAGAAGGAGTGCGATTTGATCGGTTTGGTCCGACATGACCCTGTTTTGCTGCTCAAGCTGTGACTTGATGTCGCCTAGTGCATCGCGGAGAGCGGAAGCAGGGCCACCGGCGCTAGGTGTGGAAGTCGTAGCGGCCGCAGTGGGCGTAGAAGAGGCAGGTGCAGCAGATGAGGTGGGTGTAGAGGATGCTGCAGGTGTGGGACTGTGAGTGGACTTGGCGCTCTCAGGTTCCTTGGAGATAGTGGGGCCCTTAACCTTCTCTTCCTGGCGGGAAGCAGTGAAAGTGCGGCGCTCTGCTGGCTTGGGAATCTCTTCGAAGCTCGACGCGCTCTCGTTGTCCGAAGCATCCTTGTCCGCGAATTTGGAAGCTGCCGACGCCATAGAATCCTTGTTGTCCTTCATAGATGGGGGTGGACCACGAGAAGCGACTGGTGTAGGTATGGGCTCGGGCGCAGGCTTGGGCGGCTCGGCCTTGACGGGGGATGGCTGACTGGTGGCCGGCTGGGAAGGCTTGTAGTCGTTTTCCACCTCTTTGGGGGCTTCGCCCTCATAGACGCTTTCAAGTGAAATCTTGGGCGGCATTGCAGTCTTTCCGCTGAACCAATCGGCAGCCGAAACACCTGGCTTCAGACCTGTCGTAGGCGGGTAGATATCACTCTGGAACATCTCGGAACGGCGGGGGACGATGAATGATACGGGCTCGACGTAGGCATCGTTGACAGTCTTGAAGCAGCGCAGGACCTCGTTCTCGTGCAGGTTGATACCCCGCTTGGGAAGGAAGGCGATACCGCGCTGAGGGTCGCCGGACTTGTATTCGGAGAGGTACTCGAACTTGTCGTTCTCGTATTCGTAGTAGCGGATGTTGCCGTCACTGCGCAAGTTAGTTTATGGCCATAAAATTGGGAGGTCAGACGTACCCCTTGCCGGCGAGGTACAAGCACTGTGTACCGTCGTCCCAGAAGGGCATGCAGACACCGGAGATGGAGTCGAGGATCTGGAAGCCGCCAATGGGCTCTTTGGGGTTGCGCGGGTCCCAGAGACCGAGTTGACGGTCGCTCATGCGCGAGAAGCCAGTGGTCGCGATACGGTCGGTCTCACCCATCCACACAGCGCGGCTGTTCTTGGCACCAGGATGACCGGGAACCTCCTGGGCGGGCTTCTCCTGGCGTACATCCCATACGCGCAGCTTCTTGTCGCGGCTCGTGGTGACGAGGAGCGATCCGTCGGCGCTCCATGAGAGCGATTGGACAATGTCGTTGTGCTTGAGCGTGAGCTGTGGCAGACCGGCCTCGACGTCCCAGAGCTTTACGGTGTAGTCGCCAGACGCGCTGGCGAGGACGTTCTCGGCGGCGGTGTTGAAGAGGACATGGCCGACCTTCCTGTGGCAGTGTTAGATGCGAATCTCGACCGAGCGCATCGGCGTACCTCATGTGGCCGCTCAGCTTGGCGACAGGCGCGACATCAGCGGGCTCCTCGGCATCGGTGTGCAGGGTGAAGTTCTCGGGCACCTTCCAGATGCCGACTTTGCCGTCGTCAGAGGCCGAGGAAATGAGAGAGTCGTTGAAGGGAGACCTGCGCGCAGTTAGCGTCGTACTCGGCCCTGTCATGCCATGTGCGGCCATACCAGTCGGTGTCGAGGACGGCGGCAGTGTGGCCGCGGAAGAGAGGGAGCTGGTCGGGAGCCCGGCCGCGCTCATTGATGGGGATGACGGCAAAGGCGCCACCGCCGCTGGCTTCCCAGTTGACCGAGATGTATTCGGGGTTGGCCTAGGGGGGTGAGCGCAAGTACGACGGGGTCGCGTGCGGGAGAGCTGACCTTGATCAGGTTGGTGTCCCACGCATTCTTGGAGATGCGGAGGTTATCGTAGCATTGCTCCTGCACGACTGTCAGTACACGTGCGTGCTAGCTAGATGGCATTGGAGCGTACCTTTTTGGTGCCCTTGCCAAAGACGTGGCCTGGCAGGCGTTGTTAGCATGTTGGGCTGGCGGGCGTTGGACATCAACACTCACGGTACTTGGACGCTCGCACAAATCGGCCGGCCATGGTTGCGGGTGGCAGTGACGGGGGTGGTGGCGAGTGTAGGAATGACAGACTCTCGGGCCTCGGGCGTTGGGCTATAAGAGGCGCTGCGGTGGGTGCGAGGGCAATGCGACGGTTTCGAGCGCGTGTTTCGAGTCCTGGGACGCAGTTGCCCCCAGCATGCCTATGCAGGCGCCTTGGCGGTGGGCCCGCGATGCCCGCTCCAATCTCGCCAACGGTCCCTAGTCACCCTCGTCACTCCACCACTCCACCTGCAAATCCACCAATTTGCAGCTGTTTATGCAGCCCCAGCCCAGCAACCGCATGTTCGCAGCACGATCTCCAACTAACGACTTAGCACAAGATGACTGAGGCCGGTCCCGAGGTCACGAGAATGCAACTTCTGTTTTCACATTTCTTCTTGTGCTAGTTTCCTTCGACTGTCCGTGGTCAATACTTTGCGTCTACTACTACTACCAACAAACACTCAAACCATATTCAGGCAGACCCGTCCCTAAATATCCTCAAACACCTTCCTCTCCGCCCTTGCTTCAATCATGCCTAGTTCTTCGCACCTTCCGCGAAGCCAAATCGTCCACTCGTCGTCGCCAGCAGCCAGAACCACATTTTCTTGCGGGTAGACGACCCACTGTATTCCCGAGAGAGCTTTATCCATACCCTTGTTGAAGAGCTGTGTTTGCTCCTTGCTCCACGATTGGAATACGTCGCAGAGGTGTTCGCGGACATGATTCTTATAAGCATTCTCGACGAGGTGGGTATACCGCCCCATGTATTTGCGCCGTGGCCGTCGACGCTTGCGATCGACGGTTGCATCATTAGGGAATTTCTCCGAGCAACCATCCGTAAGACGCAAGTAGGCGATATACTGATCAACTGCTTCGACGAATTCAGTTGCCCATTGCAAGGCTGTTGGCGCCTTGTTGTGGAACTCCATAGGATTTTCCAAGTGCGTTGATATCAACGGAACGATGTGGTACAGCATCACCCCTAACCCCACGCCCACGTCGAAGGGCTGAGCGGAATTAGTACGGATTCTGGCAATGATCGCTGGTATTTTAAAGTCGTATCCCATCTTTCTGAGCGCGAGGGTGTCGAACGGGTGCTTTTTGGCTCGTTTGACTGCTTGCTCTGGTGCACTGGTAGTATCTGGTGCGTGCTGGTCTCCATCTATCAGAGGCGCCCCCGCCCTTTTAGCGCCCTGCATCTGTGGAATGGTCATGGCCGGCAGTGAGTGCAGATTCGAATTATGGCTCTTCAGGTGGTTGATCTCGACGTGCAAGATAAAGATTCCCCCTGACAGGCCACGGGTGGGAGATTTGTTTTCGTAGTGTTTGCGCTGGCATTGTTCAAGTATGTCTTTGTCACAACACGTTAGCTTTGCTAATAGCATAGCTTTGAGCGGTCTCATGTCCTGTGATGTCTTTCACTACATTGTGTGATATTGAAACTATTCGAGACACTGGGATCGTTCGGTAGCGTAAACAGGTGAACTGGAAAACATGGCCATACACCTACCCAAGACTTGGACGACAAGGCTGAGCACATGCATGCTGCAGGCACTTATCCGCAACCGAACCAACACCGACGCAAGTCACTATGCAGTCTACTATCGCAAGTAAGCTGGCGCGGAACTTCTCGAATGAATGGAAGCTCCCCAGCCTTCCTCGAGTCACCGATCCGCCGTTCGTGAG